TAATAATAATAATAATAATAATTATAATAATAATAATAATTATTATTATTATTAGTATTAATATTATTATTAATAACCATTATTATCTTTGTTGTTATTATTATTAATATAATAATAATAATAATAATAATAATAATAATAATAATAAGACAATAATAATAAATTAATTTTGAGATTTTTCGGAATCAGTAATAATAATAATAATAATAATAATAATAATAATAATAAGACAATAATAATAAATTAATTTTGAGATTTTTCGGAATCAGCAATAATTATAATTATAATTATTATTATTATATTTATAATAATAATAATAATAATAATAATAATAATAATAATAAAGACAATAATAATAAATTAATTTTGAGATTTTTCGGAATCAGCTATTATTATTATTATTATTACTATTACTATTACTATTATTATTATTATTATTATTATTATTATTTATTATTTATATTATTGTTATTATTATTATTATTATTATTATTATTATTATTATTGTTATTGTTATTAGTATTGTTATTATTATTATTATTATTATTATTATTATTATTCATTATTCTTATTATTATTACTATCACTATTGTCATTTTTATTAATTAATAATTATTAATTATTAATTTTTAATTGTCATTAATTGCTCAATTATTAGTTGCCAATTGTTATTATTATTATTATTCTAATTAAAAACACTCAAGTATATGCAGTCAGTATGACTAAATATAATAATAAAAAGTTTGGTGAACAAACCTAAATGCATCAGCAAAAAGCGTAAAAATCTTTCCAGCAAAAACGAACTGAAAGGAGGTACCTTCCTTCGGAATGGCTGCAAATTGAACCATTATCTTATGGGTTCAAACAATAACAAATGACAAGAAAATTTTTTTATTCATTGTCTATATGTAAAACAGACTAAAAAATAAAACAAATTTTTAAATTAAGAGGTTTTTTAAAGATTAAAAAAGAAGTTAAGTCTCTATTTGAAGAACACAGTTGCATCGGATACACTAACTCAGTAACTTGTTCTTTCTTGTTATTATTTGAAATGTATGTCGAGTCTCCTTCACCACGATTCCATTCAAACCAATCTACAATTCGAGCAACAAAGTAAGGAACAAACTAGTGCATATATTACTTAAAAAATTACCTGAGACGGATTGGATGCATCTGAAACTAAGAATAAACAACCGTGATAATCAGCCTTTAGCAGTCGATCATCAACGGTGCCAGAAAGGTTTAGTAAACTGCCGTAATAATCACACCATAATCGGTACAACGGTTCAAATTGCTCATACCTAAATTCGCCTTAACAGTCTTATTGCTTGTAGAAATAGTAAACTAGCAGATTAGTCTTATGAAGAAGAAATAAAGAATACTGAAACCTGGAACTGACCGACAAACGAAAAATCTTACGGGGAACTTTTTCAAAGGTGTTATGCGATAACTGCGAGACGAAACAAATTACCTCAAACTTTTCTTCTGTTCTTTGGTGATGCGATTCCTGAACAAATTCTCCCGTTTCTGCTGTCTCAACGGACGCTCCCTCGAAACAGTTTTCTCCAGCAAATAGCTCACATGCTTGTTTAAAATACCATCTGTCATTTTTACGGTCCCCTTCCCAACATAAGTCGAACCGGATGGAATGCACGAACGGCTCAAACAATCCAACACCTCTGGCTTAAAAGATGACACTGTAACAGACACGGTCATTCAAACGACATTGTGAAACTCACCTGAACCCCATTGTACCGTATCAACGAGCACGAAAACCGTAATGACTTCAAACAAAAATCCATAAGGGATGAAGAAAATTGATTGGCAAAACAGCACTAAAGAGGAAACTGGTTTCATCAGATTGCTTTATTACAAAAGGCTAAGCATAAACGTAGTAATAAATAATGAATTCCGACAGACCGCGCAAGAAAATAGAAAATAACTCAAAAAAAAAGAAAAGAAAAAGGAAAACCAAAGTATCCTACATAAACAATAAAGAATAAAAAACACAACAGTATGATCCTAAAGATAAAAAACTTGGAATTTAAGGTCCTAGCAAGTAAAATAAGACTCACTTTTTGCATGACAAATGCTTGAAAAGAAAGTCATCTTACCAAATCTAGCCCCCACATGAAAACTATGAAAAATTTCTCGTGTGCCACCTACAATTAGAAATAGCAATGACGTTCACCCGCTATAGAAAGCCTTCGCTGTTTGACTTTTTAATAGAAGTTTAAGCTGCTGTTTGAGAGGACTTATGAAAATAAGAGCAACAGACATTACCGGCGAGAGGACTTTCCAAATTACGCAACTGAGAATTTTCACCAAAATATCGATGAAAGCATGCATATAGTACTGTACAGTTTGGCAGAATATAAATTCGGAAATGGCTGAAGGTACAAACAATACCACAGTGATGATCAACTCTACAGTATATTTCAAACAAACAATCATTATATACAAATCAAGAGAAACGATGAGAAAAAAGACAAATCAGTAGGTGAAAAAAATAAATTAAAAAAAAAACAAAGAGACCGACAAGTAATCTAGGGACTCGACGCAATTCGGCATGCAAAATCTTGTAGAAAGTTTAAAAAATATGAAACGAGAAAACAAACGATTAACCCCTGGTCAGACTGACACCACATAATCAGTTCCACAAAATAAGCAAAATTTTTTCATGAAATTGCGGCACTGAAACTTACTTTTTCTTGGAAAAACTATTCAACAGCAAAACAAAGGTTTACTATGAATCAGATATAACTTTATTAATCCGGATAATATCAAAAGAAGTGCCCATTAAAAACTGTGAATAAGGCACGCCTACACTACGGGACGATGCCTTTTCCGCGCTATCGCTTCTTCCACGGATTTCAATTGCCTTAATAGCTCAGCTCGACGTTCCTCTTTCTCAGCCTCATCATTGTACTCATCAGCTAAACTGGAAATTTATTGAAAACGAATTGGCCTTCCCAAAAGACTTTCATGTAGATAAAATCAAATTAGCTTTGAATCTAACTAAAAAGAACCTTCGCTTTCATTGAACCGGTCCTCCTCGTAATCCTCCTCTTCATTCTCACTCCCACTGTCTGCTCTCTGATCATCTTCAGCATTTGCAGGTGAGGGACTAGTTTGCCTTTCGGAAGTTGATCGCGATCCAGACGGTGAACGCGACGCGCTTTCCTAAATCAAAAAATTGAATAATTATCTTTTAAAGATAAGTAAACAAGAAAAATATGAATTTAAACCGACTTTTCCGGAAGGAGAGTGTTCATTTTCATCGCTTGATACGTCTTCTGCCTCCGCCTCAGGCGACAGCGGAATCCCTTCGGTAGGGAAACCGTCATCATCCTCCAGAGACTTACGTCTGCGCCGGTAAGCAGCTGGTTCATTATCCTCATCAGTCGAGCTACCGCTGCAGAATAAAAGTGCTTACAAAAGCAGGACAAAACCAAGTATATAACTGAGCAAAGAGTCTGAATCAAAAAAAAAAAAAAAAAAAAAAAAAAAAAAAA